TTTTCGCGTCGCGAAAAAAGAACCCACGGGGACCGAGAGGGTTAAAGTGCCATTCGTTATTTCGCTCTACGACTCCGGGCCCCGAATCTCGATAAAACCGCCGCGTGTCCCCCCTCTCCCTCTCTCGGTCCCCTTTTCCTCCGGGAGGCGCGCTCTCGCTTCGGCTCCATTCGCATTCCGCGCCTGCGACCGAAAGCGCATCTAGAAATGCACTTCGCCCCGAAAGCGAGCGGTCACTCTTCGCCCTTCGCTGGTAAATACTATCGAGTGGTTCAATTCTTGACTGATGAAACACGCGAAGAAGACTTACGAGGATCCCACGGAACACCACGGGATGTGAAGAGACAATGGTAGCGACAGCATCTAGTTAATGGTAGGCGGATCGTGTCCGGATAAAGCTGGAAATTTGGGGCGTACGCGGAAAACAGCTCCATTATAGAGTGCTCATCGGCTCTCCCACGTCGCAACGGCGTCTTGGTGAATCTCCGGAGCTGATAGTATTGTGTCGTCGAGACGTTCTTCTTCCTATCCGAGTGAAAAAGTCTTGGGCCCGATTCGTCAACTGGTGACTCGCGTGGCAGGTAGAGGAGACCGAGACAGGTTCGAATGACGGGCAGGTCAGTGAGACGTTTCGTTTGTATACTCATTGCGAAAAAAAGAAAAACAATGGGGAAACAATTGCAAAATGTTCCCTTCAGAACGTAGATGCTCCGATTTTTATTAAAGCCGCGAAAATATTACAGTTAACAAAAAGGAAAGTGTGATTTGAGAACAGCCGAATAAATTTGAAGCATCCCGAAATGCTTTCTTAATATTCTCCATCGTGTTTGGATAAATCTAAGTGACATGTAATTACAAATTATAATTATAATTATAAATAAATTAAAATGAAATTTTCTGAAGGTGTGTGATATACTATTTTGTATAATAAAAATAATGTTCGTACATCTAGATAAAATTATCGAAACTAAAGAAATTAATTTGTCATAGCATAAAATGTTCTTTCACAGCATAAAAACAAAAAGGAAATTTGTCGCCATCATCGTTGTTTCGTCAATCGCGATAATTGTCTGGAAAGTTTAAACATCGAAATTCTGAAAAGTTACCGAATCGGTCCCGATCTTCGTTATGATGTCGTCGGTCGGTGTGTCTACCTGTGGTGTCAAATAAGCTAAAACGTGAGGAAAAACATTCTTTTCTCACGGCCTGTCATAATACATTACGGTCGTCGAATAAAACGACCGTCGAACGACATGACTCATGACTCCACTCACCCTCAAATTTGCAAATAAGGATAAACTCCTACAAGATCCGCCCTATTACTTTCTCACATTCTATTTAAAATCTCTCAATATCGAAATCTCATCTCATGTTTGGAAAACCCTGTCAAGAATAGCGCGACGGTGATTTTCCTGCAAAGAAACACCAGTCTCAATTTAAATAGGCAAGGTTAAGCTAGAAAAGGGCAGAAGCGCGACGCCGCCAATTAGGGCTGTAGTCTCGAAACTATAATGACGACAACACTTTTCCAACCGTGAAAGGAACGCAGACAGGCCTTTACGGTCGGATTGTGAAGGTGGCGACTCTTTCTCAGGTACGAGTTAAAGCACTTTGCTAGTTCCATAAATGGAAAATCCTCGTTCCCCGGAGCTGTGTAAAACTGAGAGAGAGAGAGAGAGAGGAAGAAAGAAAAGGAAGGAAGGAAGGAAGCTTTTTCTCTCCCTGGACACAAGCTACCGGTATTATGATACGTATCAACTCACGGGGGTTCTCGCCGGCATGCCATGTCCGGTTTTCCTGCGGGGTCGGCCACCGAGATATGTACGACTGCATTTCACGTGTGCTTTGCGGATGACGTGTGCGAATAGGAGAGATCGACCGTACTTCCATTAGGCAAAGGGCAAGGCGAACTTAAACTCGCGTTATCCACGATCGGGTGTTTCCATTAAGGGGATGCCGAAGTCAATAACGTACGAGTTAAGCGTCGATAACGAGTTTCAGGTCACTCCGGACAAAGTGACTGAAATGTTCACGAAAGGTCGGAAATAAATCAATAGAGGACGCAACACTAACTCAAAATGTTACGTTGCATAAAAACTGACACAATCGCGCATTTCCTTTTCGTACTTATATATATATATAAATTTTACGTAAATATAAGTGCGATATAAATGCGATGAATACGTGTTACTTTGTTTTACCATGATTAACTGAAAAGTCTAATCAAGATATAACATATATAAGATACATAAAATTGCGTGCGGCTAAAACGTAGAAAACTTGAAAGAAGCCGGCATTTCGCTGGCCAAGTTCTTCAATATTTCATCCCTTTAAGAAGTTCGAGACGCGTCGTGCGACGTCTCGCCGGCAGGGGAAATGGAGCAGGCGAGAAAATGGAAACGAGAGAGCGAGATAAAGAAAGAAAGGGAGGCTCGCTGGGAGAATCCGCCGGTGGTGGAGCGAAGGGCGCTCTTAATTGGCCACGATTAATAATTATTGAAATCCACAACGCGGGGCATGCGCGGCGGTTACCATAATTGCATAAAGAGCCTACCGCCATCGCGGTTGATTAATGCGAGCAGCGATAGCGCGGGAGAGCGAGAGTGCGACAACGAGGTGGAAACGGCCTTTCGTCGGGACACGAGCGAGTTCTCTCGAGTTTTGCCCGAGTGGGGCGATTGCGCTTCTTGGCTTGCCAATCCCGCGGTTAATGCGCGACAAGATATCTCGAAGCAGATTAATTTGTTTTCCCACTTTTGTTCGTCCCACTTACATCAGTGCGCGCCGGCCGGGGAAACTGCGCGACACGCTACACGCGGATCCGCGCGCGCATTATCTCTCTCTTTTCCTCGACAATGATTACACTTACACCTTATCGCACCGAAGCACGCGTCTTTTAGTAAATATATACCTTTACGAAAATATTTCACCGTTTTCCGCCCCGCGGAAACGTTCGTTTCAACAGTGGAAGCGTGCATTCGGCTGAGTGAGCGTGAAATATTTTTTCCAAGGATACCCGAGTCGAAGCTTTAGTTCTTTGTGTTAATTTATTTGATGCGACATTAAGTCTTTATCAAGATCTCCGTTTTCTCCGATGCTACGAGAAATGGGAAGTTATTTCCGTTTTCTTCGCTTGAAGGCTTAACGTAGAATGAAAAATTTCGACTCGGGACGCAACAACGTGCTCTTTTCGCGGGCACGTCGCGAGATCCTGCCGAAACGCCGGCCTGCGCCGGCTGCCGCCGTTAATTCGCGAAATATCGTGTTAATTGCGAGCCTGGACGAGGGAGATACGAAAGAAAAAGCGTGACTAGTCGCACGTTGGCGGTTAAGCAACGGCCGAGCTACCCGAGAGGCCGCGTTTCGCGAACGTTTATCTGCGCGCGGGCGACTGATTTATTATAAGTAATGGCGATAAACGGCGAGTAATCGCGACCTAATCGGCCGGCAATTAACGAAGTAAGCTACGATCGTATTTTTCGCCCGACCTCTGAGCAACGACCAGCGCCTGATTGGACGCTATTCCTCCCCCGGAGACGCGTACTCCTCCTTATGTAAAGCACCATCGGACGAACGCGCTTTCGCGTCCCGACGGCGGGGCGATGTATTCACGAGACTCGGTCGCACAGGATTCCGCTGCACCCCGGCTTATTTCACTCGCTTCGCGATGTCTCCCGCTCTGCTCTGACATGGGAGAACAGGGCTGCGATCCAGTGAAAGCATCGATGCTAATACGATGTTAAAACGGATATCTAATTAATTAAGGGTATCGATGTCATTAGTGATACTAGTATCGGAACAAAACTATCGGTACTGATATCTAAACTTAATAAAGAAAAACTTAGAATTAGCGGATATAAAAATCAGGGAAGTGTTTGTCTTGCGAGCTACTTTTCCGAGTTTCGTACGTCTGCGCGTAATAATCTTACCACATAGAGAAAATATTGTGGTAAAAATTATCGCAACATTTTGTAACGCGTGATATTTCACGCGTACGTATCATTAAAAGTTACAATACCCATCATAATTTCAGCCAATTCTGGTGTGTTCCGGCATTACAAGACTCAGTGGTAATTTTTACTGCGTTCATTTCCATGAAGCAAAAATATACGACATCTTGAGGATCGACTGAGTAAAATATTAAAAGAAGATATCGAAACAAAGTAGTGCATTTACGTATACGACGCAAAAATACCCGGTGATGAAAGAGAAACACCGGTATTACATCAGTAGTATGACAATATCCTCCGGGGAGGAGAGCCGATGCCGAGCTGGAGGCGCGTGCGAGCGGCCGGCTAATTTCATAAGGACAAGAATCGCGCCGGGACAGATCGGGACAAACCGCGCGGAAAAAAGCTCGCGAGCCAAAAAGCCTCGGACGGTGTACCGAGGTAGTCCATAAGTCAGACTCGAGGCGGCGCGGATACCCGAAGATATCCATGAGGAACGACCCGGTGCGGCCGCTTATCCACGTCCGATCTGGTCGGACATTATAGGCGCTCGACGAGGTGGAAAGGAGACGCCAACGCCGAGCGGCTCGAGGAGGTAAGACGGAGATGGAACGCGACGGCGGCGACGGAGACGCGGAAGGACGGAGAGAAAGGGCGGGTGAAAAAAGATTTTATGAAAATCGACGATACCGGGTGTGGAGGTGGTCCTTGATCGCGGGCCCTGGGTTTCCACACGTGAACGCGCCTTCGCTCCGCCCCTGGAGGCGACCGCGGCCAGGTCCGGAGAACCGCCTAGTCCGCTCACCTTGGTGGCAACCAGAAGCATGGAACGACCCATCGGTCCCTCCCCGCTCGTGCTTGTCCTCGTCTGTTTCTCTCCCCCGGCCCCTCGCCTCGACGAGTCGGACCCATCCCTGCCCCGCGGAGCCTGACCCTACTCGACCGGCATCGCCGTTGCCTCCCGCACCGCGGCTTCTCCTCGTCCCGCTGCTCTCCGGTTGGAGAGGTGACTGTCCAGGACAGTTTCGAAGACGCAGTCACCGGCTGCACCACGTCCTGGAGGCAGTCCCCCGTGTTACCTCGTACGCACCCGCACCGCACGCAGAGACGCGGCAGGAAGTGCGCGCAACTCTCCCGAGGACCGGAAGAGACGAGCAATCTCGCTGGTCTCGCTCGAGAAGTTTCCTGATAACTTGAAGCCTCCTAGGATCGATCATCCTGAAATCTTGCGACTGTCCGGAACGGAAGTGAGCGATATGTTCTGAGATAGTGGAGGAGGTGCTGTCTCGCAGGCTAGTTCGGTGACGAGCGTGTTGGTGGACAGTGAAGGATACGAGACTGATCCTGATGAAATCAGAGCTCACGGGAAGGACCAGCTGGATGCCGCTGGAGATACCACTGGTTACCGCTCGTGGATAATCGTCGGTTACGTTGTCGGGGGTTTCGCGCGGTTTCCTCGCCTATTGAATTAGATTCCCGCCTCGAGGGGGGAATCGAAGCAATTTCGCCGATTGCACGGGACTCGATCGCTCCCGAGGAACTTCCCTCCGATCGGATTCTCCGCGTGTTTCTCGTGTAACGGAAAGAGATATCGAGGTAAAAGGATGGCTTGACGTCTAACATGAGAGAAGAATTCGTACGAGTGCAAAAGGAAGCGCAGAACGCGGGGAGAGTTCCTTTCGAAGAAAGGTAACGGTTGATTTTCATCTCAGACGCGGCAGGTAGAAAACGTTGCCGAATCACGCGACCGAATTCTCGAACAGGCGCCTCTGGTTCCTCCGGTGACGCGGAAGTGGACGAGAAGTAATCGGAGCGCGAGGAAGTCGCGGCTGAACGAGAGCGGACACGACCTAGTGCGACGTTACCGAGGTGGCCGTCCCGTCGGGGCAGGGGGGAGGGGGGGTCGAAGCGGTGTGGAACGAATCGCTCGCAAACGCACGGCTACTTCTCGAGTTCGGCGATTTACGCCGCCGGAGTTCGTTCGCCAGATCGAGGGGAGAATTTGTTGTTTGCTCGAGTCAAGGTATACGAGCTGGAAGGAGAAGGAAAGAGTGAAAAGTGCCACGTGAAATAGCACGCGACTGCTCGGACTGAGTACCGGCGGGACCACACACACCATCGTGCGTCTGCCCACACACACGCACGCGTACGCACAATCACGAAGACCCCTCGGCCAAATATACCTTCCACAGGACGAGGATGCCGAGCGCTGACTGATAACGCGTGAGTACGAAATATTTCGTCGACGAGAGCGTTGATTCAATCGAAAGCGCTCTCGTCACGTCTACCGATGATACCGCACAGACATTTGTCCAGATTTTCCCATGCGCAGAGTATACATTCCGGTTAGAATTCTCCCAAGATAGGTTATCCTGTTATATCTAATGGAATCCCATTCTTACCTCAAATGTAGGGTGAAGCTTCTTTTTCGTGATGCTGATTGGCTGTGACCTGCGACTGTCATCGTCGGAATTAAGTGACGGTTTGATCGACTGTCGCACAAATTAGGAGGTTAACAAGCAGCCATAGTTAATCAAGACAGATCTAATCCACAAAATAATGATTTTCGACATTTTGTTATCCTCGATTAGTCTATATATCTATATTTACAGTGTATATATACATACAGTAGTCTATACATCTCTCTACATGAAACAAAAGGATCTAAGTCGTATTATGGGCGCCTAAAATTAATTGAAAAAACCAATTTTATTTAAAACAGTTATTAATTAAAACAGTTTTTATTTTCCACTAATTCCGCCATTTTTTACCAATTGCGTCTTATTTATTCATTTTTCTTAAGAGTTAAGCCCGTCGATGAATATTCTTCAGGAAAAGAAAATACTCGACTTCTCGAACGATTACGAAGAACCTCAATTATCTTCATCTTTTAAATCATATATCAAATTTTTACCTTCATTTTTCTCGATACATATCCCGTATGGGTTGAATTTTTCTTGCATAACTACGGCCAAATGGGATTGTATTTTTAATTTTACTACGTTCAATTGCGCGCTTAGCACGTGTGTGTGTGTGTGCATGTACTTGTAAAGTGTAAATGCTTATTCCAAATAACACGTATATCTAAAAGGCATCTCGAAGACCTGGACCATCGGACGTCTTTTGGACGTCTTATTGTCGAAAGACATCTTTACGATGTCTTAGGATGTCTTAATGCTGTTCGAGTAAAGTGTCCTATACATTTTGTCCAATCGTACTGTAAAACGGAAGACGGGAAAAATCTTTAGGAAAACGTTAGGGCTGACCAAACCGATCTCTCTGCACTACCCACTTAGAATCGTATATTTGCAACATTACAACTTCTACCCAGCACCTGCGTAGATTTCCCACCTGGAATCCATCATTATTTCGAGAAATCGAACTGGGATCTCAATTAAATCCCAAGAAACTTTCCACGCGGCACTGAACGAGCGGGGATGACTCATCCGCGCACTATCGAGTCGGTAATCGTCCGAAATCCCAAGTATAACACGCCCATCTCAAATTCGATATTAATTGCCGATAATAACACCGACTTTCGGCTTTTCGAATCGCACTCGACCGTCACGACGATCGCTGCTGCGGTCGAGGGATAACGGGCTCCGATAAGAACGACCGCCGAACTCAGCGTTTATCAGGATGCGCATTGTATCGCGATCACGGTATGTTTATTGCAGTCATTATTGCACACACGAGGCTCGTTATCACACGCGTGTTCCATGTATCGACATTAATTAGTGATAACAATTGCGGCGACGGCTCGCGCGGAAACTGCGGCCTTCGCTCGCGCGCCGCTCGTAAATTTCCATTAAGCGCACGCGCGATACGCGACATCCGACGTTGTGCGTCTCCCTGCAAAGAAGAATGGGGGGGGGGGGGGGGGTTGATGTAAATTGNAAATTGAGGGATCGCGAGATACCGAGATCGCCGCCTAATTCGCCGGCTAATTCGCGCGATCCTCTCCGCCCCGATTCGCGAATACGTTGGCAATCCCGCTTTACAGAACGAACCCGCCGATACCACCGATAATTATCGATATCGTCGGCTCACTCCTCGTCGCTGCAACGGCGAAGAGGACAGCTGCCACGAAACGAAATACCCACTATCGTGCGAACTTCGAGCTCGGAACCGCCGGGAATCCGCTGTGACGGGTGGCATTCGCGGCCTCGCGTGACGAAACTTCGGTGATTTAAAGCGAGCGGCGGTGATTAACGGCCCCATCGGGAGTATCGAGAACAGCCCTCGTAATTGTAAGAGCGATTCGATGTTAGCCACCGGCCGGTATCAATTAGTTTCGCACATTACCGTTAATTATTGCGGGAAAAGGAACGTTGAGTAAAAAAGAGAGAGAGGGGGTGGGAACGGAGAGGGGGAGATATGCGTAATAGCGTTCCAACCCTTTCGGCGGCATATGTAGATGCCGAGCGGTCGGAGTGAGGCCGATTGCTCTTGTTGGCTCGCCGTTTAGCGCGGTGCGTGACTCCTCCGAAGGAGAAACTCGCGAACCTCACGTGGGATTCCGAGGCGAAATTAGAAGTTCCATGTTAAATCTTCGAATAGGAAAGAACGGAAATAAATCTGCAAACTTGTGAACTGTATCAAAAGATAAGAAATAAGCGCAATGAAATTGTTCAATTACACGTTTTCCAACTCTTTTTCTCCCTCTCTCTTTCCCTCCCTCCTTCATTAGCTCATTTATTCCTCTCTTTCTAAAAATGAAGCGAAGTGATTTTGGAAACTAGAAAAACAATTTTCAAGAAACGTTAAGATCCAACGTTGAAACGCGATTCGTTATGGTTGACCGCGAAAAAAAAGCACGCTATAAATATACTGCGCCTCTTCTTGCGATAGCTAGGAAGATAAGAATGAAGAATAACTATATTCCCCTTTCATTGTCCCTAGTCATGATATCCTTGTACAGAAATAAAAGAGAGGGTTTAAGAATCTAGCTAGATAAAGACAAATTGACTGTGATGGCGCGGGCTAATCTCTCTTTCTAAACACGTCACGTAGTCTCTTGTAGAAATACTTCATCTATTTGTATACACTATTTGTATACGTGAACAATGATTTGCCTCTCTAAACTGTAAGCTAATCGACGACATAGGGTTGCAGCTGAAATTTCTAACTGAAATTCCACCCCCTCCTCGACTTCTCCTGAAATAGGAATTCCACTTTGCGACCCTGTAAATCAATCGTCGCCCGACCCAATCGGTGCAACCAGATGACAGACTTACACTAAATCCAAGAAGGGGCGGATTATCGTACACTGGTCTACGGGAAACGTTGCTCGCGTAAAACAATCGAAGAAACGTGCTCATGCGGTTCGCTTTGAAGCCACGTTCGTGCGTTCTGAACGGGCCAATAATCCAACGCGTTCGTCAGAGAAGCACGAGCAAAGTGCCGCCGATAAATCGCGTATTGCTTCATACGCCGGTCGTATTATCGGCGGGCGGTTATCACGATCGGGAATAAGAAACGTTTTATTACACGACGTGCAACGTTAACCGTCGCATCTGGTGCGCGCGATCGACGTAACCGACGGCCATCGTAATTTCGTTCTCCATTCCGGGCTGTTATCTGAAACCATGAAATTGGAGGCGTGAAGTCGACTTTTCCGACGGCGCGTCACGTGGATGATAAAAATTGCGAGGAAATCGGGCGAGAAGGAGGCGCGGCGACGGCCGCGCTCGAGGTAATTGAGAAAGAAGTGAGCGTTTTTCCCGAGCTGAAAGCGTCCATAAATACATCGACTTATCTACGAGATCCCGCGCCAGACGGCGTCGTCGACGATGCAGCATCTGCTGCACGAGATACTCTCCAGAGCCGCCATCGCCGTCTGCGTCCCGTTACCTGAACACTTCTCACTTCTTTCTCTCGTCCACCCCCCTCCGCCGCTCGCCCCCAGCGCGCCTTTATTCCGCGCGGCAATTAAAATCGTCCTTTGATGCCGGGGCCCCGCCACGGAGAAAATTCCACACGCGTCGCCATAAAGATTATCCGCGAGCGCTCCGCGCTTAGAAGAAGGTTACTCGTCCTTATCGGCGCGTAAAAGAAATTTCAGAGGGACTCGGACACACGGGGTGACCCCTTGGAGAAGAGTTCTCTCTTTGTTGGAAACTCGAGATCGCCGGTGATCGGGACGCGCGCAGAATTGATTCACCTCAAGAACGCCGGCGAAAAACGGACGATCATTCTCCGCGGGAGATCGCGCTTGCGCAATTATTTAATCGCCTGTACAATCTGAGCACGTGTTCGGCGACGAGGTGAAACGTTAAACACGGCGGAACGGCTCCGTTAAACCGGTGGGCGTAAAATCGATTCCGCACGGGCCCGCTTGCGCTTGCCGGTGTGGGAGCCCCGTAAAAATTACGCGCTGACGAGCGTTCCCGAGATAGATAATTAGTGGAGCTATTGTTGCCGGTTAACACACGCGAGCGCGCGCACACGAGCAGGCGGTATCGCAGTGCGGGAAATAGCTGTTTAGATAAAATTCGCGGAGAAGGAATGGCGGTGCCGGCATATTTCGATGTATCGCGATATACGTATTCATGAAGTTATCGTTGGCTCCTTCGACATCGTCCTGTTTGCGTTATCTCCCGCTCGGAGCGACGATAAGGACGCGTGTTCGTCACAAAAGCCCGCGAAGATTCGTCGCTCGATCTTGGTGGACGGCCGAATAGCGCTGAAGTTGTCTCAGCTCTGACGATGCTCCACGGTGGCTTTAGAGTTCGCTTGGAACGCGCGTTCTTGAGCTTCTAATAATAATACCGATAATCTTGTCCGCCCCGAGAAACAGATAGACGAGAATAATATGATACAAAAAGTCAGATAAAGATGAAACTGTCATATACATAAAATTCTTCACTTAAAATCTCGATTCTTGACTTAAAGATCTCTATTCTCGACGTTCTCTGCGTCCACATACACGTCACCGAAATATCCACACGAGTTGCGTGAGTCTCCGGTCATTCGGAGGCGGCCGAAATACGACGGGGAATTACGCGCACGCGTAGGTCTGACAGATCGTGACACCGAGGCACCCTGTATAAGGGGTTGCCCACGTGGACATACGTACGACTATCGGCCGCTCATAAAGCACGAACGCGTAGGCCTCTCTCTCGCCGTGGAACAATGCCTGTCCGTTGTATCGCGATACCGTCCTGCGGACTCGCCTTTTATCGCGACGCGATGCTATGCTATGCTCCTACGTAGTCGTCGTA